AATGTCAAATCCCAAGAAGCCATTTGCAAGACCCTACCCAAGACTCACTGGTTAGCTCTAGTCCAATAATTCCAACTCGCGATCGGGATTTTACCCGGTCAAATAAGCCGGAAGCAGCAATACCAGTCCTGGTCAGCACGTTGGTCTCCTTATTCTCGAAATACTCAACGAGTTCCTTCCGTCCGAATAGAGGCAGCAACTGCAACACAGCATAGTTCTGGGTATTTGCTGAGAATTCAGATGGAATAAAGCGCTTGACACCTGTGCGGATGGTAGCATCGACAAATTTTTTTGTCCTTGAATGCAGCCTCGAAACCTTCGTCTAAGTAGTCGGTCTTGAAAATCGTCACACTAGGTGGAAAATTCGTATCGCTCTCCTTGCGGGAGATGATGGTAATTTCGAGCTGGGAAGATGCAACAAGGCCATTGAGGATGATTTTTGCTAATGCTGCCACTGGCCTGTCAAGTTTCCAGCTAGGGCAAAACGTTTATTTTGATAATGGAATTACACACCCCGATGATTGCAACGTTCTTCAGATTAGATGCCATCTGTGGATTTATGCGCTGTAGATGAAGTAGTAGTCTTGGAAATAGATGTGTCTTCGTACTTAACAAGTGTTCAGTATTAAGGATGGAATGCTATCTTTGTATGTTTCAGTCCTGCACTATTTCGCTCTGTTTGTCTGATGTTGATTCACATCACGGACTGAGTGTACAAAAACTATCTAGCACTACAATACCTACGGACTTAATGTCCGCTACCCCGTTTCCACCAAACAAAGCGTACCAGTAATGACACTAGCACAACTTTCCAAAAGGAAATAAACATGATTGAGCGATCTACTCCGTCTCCGAAGTGCCCACTCAAGTGGGGCCCGGCTTACGCTTAAAAATGCAGACTGGGGCTTCTGCCACTCCGCTCCTGCCAATCAGCTCACGGCCTCGCATCATTAACGTTGTCTTGGCTGACTATCTCACAATTCCCCACTAGAGTCAATAGGACGGCCACAGGCCAAAATTTGACTTGTCCTATACAGTTCTGAGCTAAATTTCGAGTCAATGCTTCATTCATTTAGCACTGCGGTGTGCTCTTGCCTTGAGTGTCGCCGACGGAAAATCAAATGTGATAGATCCCTTGCTCGTACTGTGTCAGAGTCAAGACACGATGCAGCTACCCACCACCTAGAGCAGAGCCTGCCATAACCAAAGGCCCTAAAGCTGGTGATGATCTGGCAGTCCGCATCGAAAGAAATGAGCATAAAATAGTTTCTTCTGAGCAAAGTCTCTCTCAACTCCAGGGGCTTTTTGCAGACTCAATCGCCATCGCCATCTGCTGGTGGAAGTCATGGTTCATGATAAACGCACCAATCCCACAAAATCCATGTGCTTGATGAATGGGGTCGGAGCCAAAGTCCACTCTTGCTCAAGGGTTTCCCGACTTCCGTACTCGAACATCTTCGCCCTCCCCGCGATCTGGTAGCTTTCTTATCGCAGAAGTGCTTGGAGAGCGTGGAGCCCACCCTCAAAGTTCAACACGCACCAACGGTCCAGAGACAGATACTGAATAATTCACAGTCTCGCGAGACCCTTAATCCGCCCGTGCAGTGTTTGATTACCCGCCTTTTTGTCAGGCTGTTGTGGCAACAATGGCAGGGGAAGATTGTCGGGTTGAGCTTGATGAAAATAAACATGAAGCAGTGAAGACTTTTGTGTTCAAATTGAAGCCGTAAATCGTCCTGCTAATCTTACACTTAAATTTACGGACGTGACACTGAAACACTGAGAAGTCTAATATTATCGAGTAACTGCTTTAGGCTTACAGCAGGCTTTCTGATAAGAGACCCGAAATTAGAAAGCTTCTTGGTAATGCCCTTGGAATTGCTCTCAAGGTTGGCCGGAATCGTGATGCATCCGCTTCAGGACTACCGCCCTTTCAATCGGAAGCCCACGAACAGCTCCCCGTCAGGCACTGACTGTCAATGGAGTGCGACTCCTTTCGAGCGATGCTTTCAGGTTCTGGGCTCCGAGCAAATATCACCGTTATAACAACAAATGTCAATCGCACCATTTCGCGGGAAGGTCTAGAAATTTGTTCATCTATCATGTCTAAAATGCTCAATGATAAATCACAATCAATGTCCTGGGCCCGGGGTTTCATCGTCGTAGTCGAAGATTTTGCCAGGGTTCAGCAGCCAGTTCGGATCCAATGAACGCTTGATACTGCGCATGACATTAACTGTCTCCAGTCCAACTTCCTTTTTCAACGATCCTTTCTTGCCCAGCCCAATACCGTGCTCACCCTGTCGTTTTAAATTAGCTGATATGCTGGGATCTCCAAGACAAACGACTTACCGTGCATGAGCCCTCCATTTCCAGTCCACGATCAACCATATCATACACGACTTTCTCGACACGCTCTCTCTCGGCGGGATCGGTGCGGTCATACATAATACTGGCATGGAAGTTTCCATCGCCAATGTGGCCAAGGATACTGGCGAAAAGGCCGAGATCGACCAATTCCTTCTTAGAGGTTTCTAACGGGATGTCAGCATGCATGCAACGGAGTAAGTCCTGCAGAAGCCATACCAATGATATCAGGCAGTCGAGAAATGGGCACGGCCACATCAGTCGACCAGACTTCCGACCCCTCCTTGCGCAACGCCAGCATACTCCACAGCGACTGCTTGCGCGCTGACCACAGGTCATGAGCCTCGCGGTCATCCCGCGCGAATTCAAAAGACTGCGCATGATTTTCCTGGGCGAGCTTCGTCGTCAGATCGATACTATCTGCGACACCGGCGACAGTTCCAGAGAACTTGAAAAACAGCGTAGGAGAGACCTGCCATTCACGGCCTGTTCCCCCCGCACGGTTAATGACGTCCATCTGAACATCATCCATGATCTCCATGCACTGCACAGAGACACCCTTCCGAATAACCTGCATCGCGGTCGAGGCCGCATCACGAATAGTCGGGAACGCGACGACGCCAACGCGGGTCTGCTCGGGGAGCGGGGCGAGCTTCAATGTAGCCTCAGTGACGATACCGAGTGTACCCTCGGAGCCAACAAACAGGCCTGTGAGATTGTAGCCGGCGGACGTCTTGCGGGGACGTCTGCGGGTCTTGATAACGCGGCCATCGGCCAGGACGACTGTGAGGTTAATTACCCAGTCCTTCATGGTACCGTAGCGGACGGCGTTGGTGCCACTGCAGTTTGTGCCGACCATCCCACCGATCATGGCGGATGGGCCTGGATCGACGGGGAAGAACATGCCTGTTTCCTTGATCTTCTCGTTCAAATCCATCCACTGGATGGAGGGCTGTACGACAATGTCCATATCGTCCGGGTGGATTTCCAGGACTTTGTTCATGAACGCGAAGTCGATTGTCATGCCGCCGTGCGGGGCTGAGAAATTGGCTTCCAAACTCGATCCGCCCGAGTAGGGGATCATGGGCATGCGGTATTTGTTACATACCTTGGCGATCTCGGAGACTTCTTGGGTGGTTTGGGGGTATGCAATTGCGACCGGGAGACGGTCGGCGTTTAAGCTGGACCATTCTGAGAAGCCGTGTTGGTGCAGTTCCTCTGCTTCGGTGCTAATTCTGCCTTCGCCGAGCTTGATTCTAAGCTCATTAATGGCCTGGGGAGGTTGTTAGTTTCATTTGTCTCTGAACTTGATGTGCGATCATGCTATTGCAATTGAGTGATCTACCTTTTCAAACTCCTTCGCTGAGCCATACTGTGGCTTCTTGGATGTCTGTGCTGGTGTCTGGGTATATGAGGAGACGCCGTAGCCTAACCCTGCAGCAACTGCGGAGACAAGGAGCGCCTTGGCCGGGGTCCAAAAAGGCAAGAGGGGAGTATGTGTAGAGGAGGAGTTGCTCTCTTTTGTGCTCTCTCTTTTTCCAACTTCGGAACTGTTTAATCTAACACTGCGAGCCAAACTAGTGCGCAAGATCTGGGGCCGACAAGCTGGAGCTGGTAGCCCTCGTGAGACCCGCAGAAATGGTCGCATTGTACAGGAGCGTTATAGATGTTATTTAAGTGAGCTTTGTTGTAAACAAGGAAGAAAAAAAGAAAAAAAAAAATTTTTTTGGACCCGGCCGGCATGATGTGACCAGGCTTTTGTATCTCGACATCGGAGTTCAGCCGAGGGAGGTAGACTGTGGTTATAATGCCATAATCCACTATAATTTCACTATCCATGACCACTATGATCCCACTCTTGCCAGTACCGAAAATGTGGAGAAGCCGAGCGTGGGGGGCGAATAGGAACAGATAATTCCGGTCTACGGCAGTGACTGCCAGTTCGGATTCTGCAATACAGGTCAGAGAGATTTTTAGACGGAGCACGGAGTATACTAACAAGGTAATAATTGAGATTGAATGCTCGATAGTTGAATTCTTCATGCTTCGTTGTCCACTTACCATTATATACGTCTAGTACATCTTATACTAGAAAAGTCCGGTTGCACATTTTAAAAAACAATGATCATCACCTAGATTCTCGATTGACAGTATCAGGATTGATTCCACACGACCATTCTTTGAATTTACACTTAATGATACAGAAGTAGAACAGACATCTACAACATACGCAGTACAACATAACGGAGCACCTGCCACAACGTTGGGAGTTGAATTTCAAAGAGTATGAAAAGCCGGCGGTGAGCCAGGCGGTCAAAACTCACTATATGCACTGGCGGCAAACAGAATGCCGTAGGTTTTCCTATTTTTTCTTCTTCACTTTTGGCAAGCAGAACTTATATAGATCGATCTTAATTTAAATTCACAATTTGAGACTTCTTCAAGGCCATGCCACCAGTTTATTTTTGGGAGAGAAATTAGAAAAAATAAATAAATAGGATGTCAATGGTTGACGGGGCAACGGAGGGATCAGAGAACCTCGTACACCCAACACCAACACACGAATCCTGGAAGTCGGATAAATCGCGGACTAATCACAAGATCCAGTTCACATACATGCAAACTCTAGAGCAATGGCAGAGCAACTCGCTCAACTAGCGTGCGAGGTGGAACGCCTAGTCACCGCACCTTACGTACCTTCATTACAGGTAAATCGATTGAGACTGGCATTGGAGTATACATGTACATGCTAATAACGAACACCTAGGACCTTCATGATCTGGTACAACAAAGCACATCCTCGACAATAGCTGCCTGGGCATTGTGCAAGCCCTGCCAAGTTGGCTTGCTGGCTGAGGTTTTGACCGAAGCCTTATCGCGATCATGCGTCGCTCTATCTCTGATCACCACATTTGGTTTGTGCTCATTCAAGGGAAGACTTGTTGTGACCTCGAGTCTGACCGTTTTTAAGCATCGACATCATCCTTTAGAGATGCGCTGCTCGAGCGACATCCGGTGATTTTGGATACCATTTTAGAAAAGGCCGTCGATGCTAATGGGGCCGAGGTGAGTTTCGTTCCTCGGAGCAAACAGATGTTAGCTGAAGGACATCGGCTAACTATTCCAGTACCTACCGGTATGTATCGCGTTGTTCTCATCGCCCTTGCCAGCGGGTGTTGTGCCGCCAGCTAGGATGGCCTCCTTCATCACGAAGCTGGTCAGCCTGATGGCAGAGAATCCCTGCGTTGAGACCGTAATGCCTCTACACACACTCATCTCAGGTTTGAAAGGCTCGCCTAGGATTTTGAATGACATTCCGTCCGAGGTCATGTCCAATCTACAGCTGGTGTTCACCAAGACGCTGCGCAACCTCGACGATCATATGGGCAACCTCTTGTGCCTGGCCACCTTTGCGCAGATTGCGACGGCGCTAGGTACAACATCTCGAAATCAACACGGATCAGAAACGCCATGGCTTCTTAACATTAAGCATTTCTTTGGCCAGAAACGAGGTCTCAAAACACTCGACCTGGTCGTCTTGCGTGTGATACTAGCTTGTTCATCCAGTTGTAATCTGGCTCCGCCTGAGGCAGCTGAGAGCATTCAACTGGCGATTTGTATCGCCGATGCAATCGAACCTGAGCAGAAACAGGCTTGGACAGCAGGTAATCATCCGAAGATTGCTAAACTGTGCGAGAAGGCTGCCAGATATGGCCTTTACGGTCAAACACAAACGATGGTTAGTTATGGTTGATCGTGTATCGAGGCTCCATGCTAATCACTGGATGATAGGCAATCGTCTTTTTACACACCCTTCTACCGGCACAGTCGTTGCCATCCCAGCTACGCGAACTTGGCATCAAGGTCCTTCTGTCCAAGAACGGCCAAGAGACGATGGAAAATATACCCCATCAACTGATTCCACGCCTCGCAAAGAGTTTGGCAGTAAGTATGAAGGCTTCTTTCTGTAGGCATTTGTTGACAGCTGACATCAACAGGAATCAGGGGAACCTGCCACTCGCCAAATTCTGACCTTTACGTTCAATATCCTGAGAGGTAGTCAATGGTCTGGCATTGGAGAGATGGCAGGACTACACCTGGCACGCTTATTATTGGCTGGTGTGCAAGACGTACATTCCGAAATTATGTTTTCTAGTGTGACCAACTCCATGGCCCCTTTGAGGGAAGTTCTTGGGGAAATGGTTGAGCACTTTCCCCGACAATCTAGTGAAAGCCAATGCAGTGGTCAAGCATGGTGTGCATCTGAGCGATACACAACGCAAAACAGGCTGTTCTTATCTCTACTAGGACTTTACAACAGGGCTTCGACGCAAAACGGAAGTGACATTACCATGAAATCCTTCTTGCGACGTGTGGAACAATCAATGACGAGCCTCGACTGTGCCTTCTCCACAGCCACCACCAAGGCCTTCCGTGGCTCCCTTACCTTGCGTGACAAACACAATCTCTCGTCAACTCCGATAACCCGCAATTGGCGATCTGGAGTTACCGAACTCTTCATGCAGAATGCCCAGATCTCTCACGATAGTATGATTAAAAAGATCGAGGACGCATGCTTTGACCTAGAGCGTCGCTGTCACGATGTTGAAGGGCCCCTGCGAGCTGCCGAAGAAGAGCGGGACGTATTTGCGCGCGAAAACGAGCAATTGAAAAGACAAAACGAAGAGTTGAATAACCAGTTGAAAGCCAAAAGTGCAGACATTGAAACGAAGTTACGGAACTCACACGAACAGGTTGTGGGACTTGGACATGAGAACACACGCCTTGAACAACTCCTTCACGTCCAATGTGCATATACCGACGAGCTGACCATGTCACTCGAATCTGTACGCGCGGAGCTTCAACAGCAGCGACAAGCTTCCGAGAACGCACTGCTGGTCGAAAAAGAAATGGCCCGCTCTAAGGAGCTGGAGATGATGGTTACTTTGACTGGAAAGGATGATCAACTGGAAGAGCTTCAGGAGGCGATATGCAGCTTACAAATGAAGAATGAGCAGGCACGCCAGAGTCTTGATCAAGTCACAAGTGAAAAGGCTGAATTGTCTGAACTCTCCAGCTCTCTGGAACAAGACCTTGCTAGTGCTACAGAGGCAATAAAGCAAACTAGGCTTCTTGTGGGTGAGAAAGAAGATGAAGTGGGCCGTCTCTTGGCCCAGGAGGAAGAATTGCGAAAGGAACTGGGGTCTGTGGAAGCAACGGTGAGTCCTTTTGACAGTGGATTTTTTTTTTGGCACCAAACATTACAAAGTAAGGTTTTTTACTAAGTCTTACTAGGTTTTGCAACAGAGCATTGAAGTAGAGAGGCTCTATACGACACTGGAAGAATCTGAGGAGAAGTTGCGGAGTGAGATTGAAAAACTGAAACAGGACCATGAAGCCGACACTTCTCGGACCACATCTGAGGTATGTCTAGGTATGCATCAACTTGTGTGAGTGAATCTAAAAATTTTCTGAACTAGATCGCGAAACACGGGACAGAAAATCGGCGATTGCATGCTGCTATGCAAGCTGCCGCTCTTGATGCCTCTAGAGATGCCCAATCGAAAGACAAAAGGATCCAACACCTGGAGAGAAAGGTAGCCAACGCCACTCGTGTATGCAATACGTGGACACTCTAACATCAAGTATAGGTGCAAGCTTTACAGGACGAACGTGCCGCCAAGGCCCGTGAGTTTTCTGAGGCACAACAACACATCGGTCGTTTAATGGGCGTGATGGGCTTTTCTGCCCATGCCCCTGAGTCAAACGCCCCTTCGAAACACCAACGAACCAGGTCCTCTGTAAACGCCACTCCAGCTGCAAGGATTTGTCAATTTAGAAGTGACGATGAAGATGGCACACAGCTGGCAGAGTCCTTTGAGTCCATGACCTCCAACTTCGATAGACCTACTCCCAAACGACCAAGAGGGAATCGCAAATCAACAAACCGGCCTGATGCTTTGAGCACTCCCTCCATTTCAGGCCCCAGGGCGAACACCCTGCCGCCGGCCGGCAGCATGTCTCGCTCGGCGAGAAAGCCACTGGCAGATGCTGACCACAATGGCCCAACGAAATCACAGCCAAGCAGTGCATCGAAACGTAGTCAGGTGGATGACTCTTTCCAGGAGACACAGGCCCAGGGGAATTTGAAGGAAACCCGACTTCATAATCTGGATTTGGATATGGACCTTGAGTTTTCCAGAGACTTTCTCTTTTCCAGCACTGCTTTTACTGGGTCAACCGATCAGATTGCTCCACAATGAGAGGATCGTCTCCGTGGTAATGAAGTTGTGTAATTAGCCCCAGGAGTACCAATGTTTTGATTACCCCATATCCATTGTATCGATTGTTTTCTGATGTACTGTTCCTACGCTTGTACCATATCGATGATCTTCTACACCACAAACTCCAACTACACAAACACAAGTCTTGGTTTATTTGAGTGCTTCGTTACGAGGATTCCTCCTTGGAACTCAGCTTTCTGCGCTGCTTATCAAAGTCAACTGTCTGAAGCTTTGGAAGTTGTCCCTTCACTCTGTTGTTCCTTGGATCCTTTACTGCCTTGGGGCTTTCAACCGACGCAGTGATTTATTAGCTTGTCCATTCCTCGGCAGAGGAAATCAAATTGGTTGTTCACTTGTCTTCCCCACTATAAAACCAACATCAAGCTTGCCTAAAAACCAAATGTATGAATTATACACGTGTTTAGTCTCCCTGCCTCTTCAGTTGTCTAACGGCAGTAAGTATTGCAGCCCTTGTCAAGATATCACTTGCGTGTGCCGGATACCCCATCGTCACTGAAGAGGTATCAATTATGGCTAGGTGAGTCTGAAATAGTCACCCCAAAGAGTAGCTACCTATGTGCTAGAAGACTCGAGCAGCAATCAGGTAAGTAGGTCTCATTTGGCAGTACATGTCAGATAGATATAACATTGCTCATTCTCACTTGACGAAATTTAAACTGATCGGGCGAACTCTCACCTTCCATCTCAACCATGACTTTTCTCATTTGACAATCAGTTCTCTTATCTCCCAGGTGACCACACTTTGAGGTCTTTCCCGTGCAATCTATTCGATTTCCGTTCATGACTGCTATCACTCGGTCAATAGTACATAGTACCTAGGTATTTGTGGTTGGATTGTTCCTTCCAGCCTTGGAGGTTCCTACATATTCTGGAATCCTCTTCACGGCCCTTCTTCCTATTCTCCTTCCACAGCTTCGTGACTTTCTTAAACCCAAGTGCACGATGGCAGGCCCTGTTATTCCCAATTTGCAACATCCAAAGTCCAACCTTTTGAGACTGGTTCCCCTCGACCCTCCTCGCCCTTCTCACCATACCACGCCAGTCCGGGACTGGATAACCTGGAGATCATGGAAGACTTGTGCCGTGGACATGTTGAACATTCCAAGAGAAATGAATACTCATGATATCTACGATGCTTTCAACAAGTATGGCAATCTAATTTCAATCGACGTTTGGGAAGACGCCGCAGGACGTCCAGATTCAAAAGGACGCATGCGTTTCAAGTGAGAACTATCAATTTACTACATTGCTTATAGATATTTTTTACTGATCACCCATAGACCGCCTCCAAACGAACAGTTTTGGGAAACCGGCTCTTTCGGTGTGAAGCTCCGAAGTGGCCGTGTTGCAGTGATATCGCTCTCGCTCTGTGGCGGTGCCTCGAACGGGACCATCCCAAGCCCAGTCCGCCCCGATATTCGGCTCCCCAGTGAACTGGTGAGTGAATGTATACGACGAGGCTAGTTTCAGATGCTGATGATGTTTTTGAAGGAATTGAAAACTGTACAAGTACAAATCGGTGTTCTGCTAGGTCCGTCCACTGTTCATGCTCTGCAGAGTTTTACCAACTTGGCATACCCCAGATGTGTTGTGGATGTCATGCGCAGGTGCCTGCTGCTGTACTTCAAGGTGGGCATTCGGGGGTCGGAGACAGCAGATGTCACTCAGCATGACTACCGTGTCAAAATCACATTTCTCCAATTGACCCAGATTTACCAACAATACGACAAGGCCACGAGCGAAAATTCCTTGCTGATTATTCTAGACTCCGCCGCCATCTGGCACCGAAAGGCCAAAGACATGCAGTCCACGTTGGCAGAGCCGATGAGCTGGAGAGAAGAAGATAGTTGGTATCGCCAGACCGCCGTGACACATAACCCGAACTCGCTCAAGACTCTGCCCACAAACTTGAAGAAGACAGGACATATCATGGACTTGGGTAAGCACCGTCATCCTCTGCAAGTCGGTGCGCTTACCAGTATTTCTGAATAGGGCGATGGAACGTGTTCAAGATCACATTCGGGCCGGACGTGGACCCCAAAATACACCGTGTCAACGATACCGGTCACTGTTTGACGCTCGTTGGAGACATTTTCAAGGACTATAACATTTTCATCAGAGATGGCAGTCATTTTGTCGAGAAAACAGACCGACCGGTACCGGTATGGCATTGGATTGACTTCTCCGAGTCCAAGTCCAATAAGGCTTCCGCATTGCTGCAAGACCTGGGAGATCAGAACTATATACACCTCCCCTTTAAGGTCCGGTATCAACTCGAGGTTTGTTTGTCCCAAGGATATCTATCTGAATTCAGCATGTCCCGCGAATTTGTAGAGAAAGTGAAGGACCTCGGGGATGACCAAGCTACCAGACTGCTAGAGTTCGTTGCAACTGAGAAGAAACAGTATCTTGATCCTATGGAAATCTTTGATCTTAAATTCTTCAAACGAGTGACTGACTCGAAGATTCCGAGTTACTGTTGCTTCATGCACACAGCACGAGTCACTCCCACTACAATTTACTACAATACCCCAACCGTGGACATCTCAAATCGAGTCGTGCGCGAATGGTCTACCAAAAGTGCACCTGGGCGCTTTCTTCGAGTTCGATTTACAGATGAGAGAACTGAAGGTCGCATCAATGCTTCACTGGGCGATTCCAACGATGAAATCTACACTCGTGTCAAAAGGACACTGGCCAATGGTATCTCCATTGGAGATCGTCACTACGAGTTCCTCGCATTCGGCAACTCTCAGTTCCGGGAGCATGGCGCATACTTCTTTGCACCGGATGCTGGTGTCTCAGCGGCAACCATCCGGGCCTGGATGGGTCAATTCAACCATATCCGAAATGTAGCCAAATATGCTGCAAGACTGGGACAATGCTTTTCAACCACCCGAGCTTTTACCGGGTCTTCGGTTCAAGTTGCTACGTGTAATGACGTTGTTCGCAACGGCTTCACTTTCTCGGACGGCGTCGGAAAAGTTTCCAAGTTCCTCGCCCAGATGGTCACATCCCAGCATAACATTAAGACTCTCACTGGAGAATCCCCTTCAGCTTTCCAATTTCGCCTTGGAGGAGCCAAAGGCATGCTGGTAGTCTCTCCGGACCCTATGCCACAGGAAGTACACATTCGACCAAGCCAGCAAAAGTTCGAAACCACTCAAGCCGGTTTGGAGATCATTCGTTGGTCCCAGTATTCCCTTGCGACTTTAAACCGACAGTTGATCCTCGTGCTTTCTGCTCTGGGTATCCCAGATAAAGTCTTCCACAGTAAACTCAACAGCATGTTGGGTAGCTTCCATCGAGTCATGTGCAATGACTCGAAAGCAATCAACCTTCTCCAGAAGTACATCGATCCAAACCAAACAACTTTAATCTTAGCTCAAATGGTATCTGATGGCTTTCGACAAAATGAGGAGCCTTTTGCCAATACCATGCTCGAGCTTTGGAAATCCTGGCATTTGAAGCATCTCAAAGAGAAAGCAAAGATTGCCATAGACCAAGGAGCTAACCTTCTCGGTGTCATGGACGAGACAGGTGTTTTAAAGGGCTACTTTAAAAACACATTGCCGCGCAGAGGAGCCTCCTATGCACAGAAGCTGGCCGCTCTACCTGAAATCTTTGTCCAGATCTGCCGGCTAGAAGGAAATGGCGAGTACGAAGTCATTGAAGGTCTCTGCATTCTCGCTCGCAACCCTTCGCTTCACCCTGGAGATATTCGTGTGGTTCGAGCAGTGAATCGACCGGAGCTGAAAGGGCTTCGTGACGTGGTTGTTCTTCCCCAAACTGGCGACCAGGACATTGCGAGCATGTGCTCTGGTGGTGATCTTGACGGCGACGACTACCTTATTATCTGGGATCCCGATCTCATTCCCACAAGATGGTTCGTCGAATGCATGGACTACAAGGGCTCCAAAGCCCCAGACCTTGATCATGATGTGACGGTTGATGAGATCACTTCTTTCTTCGTCACCTATATGAAAAACGATTGCCTTCCCCGAATTGCACACGCCCATTTGGCTTGGGCTGACAGGCTTCCGAGGGGGGTGTGGGAAGAAAAATGCATTCGTCTTGCTCAGCTTCATTCTGATGCAGTGGATTATAACAAGAGTGGTGCGCATGCGAGAATGGCCCGCTCTTTAGATCCCAAGTTCTGGCCCCATTTCATGGAGAAGCGTTTCAAGAGACCATCCAGCATCTACAAGTCCACCAAAATCCTCGGTCAACTGTACGACGCAGTGGTAACGCCTAACTTCGTTCCCAAGCTGGGGAAGCCCTTCGACTCTCGCATCCTGGAATCCCCGCTGGCTTCAGCAAGTGAGACCTACATAGAATACGCCCGCGAGCTCAAGGCGGAATTCGACATGAACATGCGACAAATCATGGCTCAGTATGAGATCAACACTGAGTTTGAGGTGTGGTCAACGTTTGTCCTCCGCCACGGCTTCGTAATCAGAGACTACAAGATGCAGGAAGACCTAGGCAGGATCGTGGGTACACTCCGCCGTGGATTCCGCCACCAATGCTATGACAAAGTCGGCCGGCATGGTGGAAACATCTCTGCCTTGGTCATTGCCATGTACCGTGTTACCCAGGAGCAGGTAGCTGCGGCACTGGAGGCTCAACGCAAAGAGGCACTGCAGAGAGAGGATCTCTCCGTTGTTGAAGTGAGCTCCACTGAGCTTCCACTCATTAGCTTCCCTTGGATTTTCCCCGATGTCCTCGGTGATGTTGCGACGGGCCGGGCGCGAGAAGCTCTGGTTTCAGAGGGACAAGGGGTTGATGATTCTGCAAAGTCTATCGGTGATGGCTTTGTTTTCACCCATAAGCAGATTCTCAATATTGTTGAAGACATGGATCGTATTGTGAAGCCGAATGCTAAGGCAAGCTCTGGACCCGCGCCCCCTAATCAAGAACTCATTGTTCGTCGACGCATTGACCAAACCAAGCCCAAGCCCAAACCCGACGACAGCAAAATGGGTGTGTGCTTCAATGAGGATAGCGAGAAGGAGGAAGGCGTGAGCATAGACACTGCTCAAGCGGAAGAGAATGGTGAAATGGAGGCTGTAACTGAGGATATTGTGGAAATGGAGGGCGATGTGCAGCCTTCTGCGCTTGACGCTTTGATCAATATGATCAACAGCTGATCTTTCGCATGAAAAAGTACCCAAAAAAAAAACCGAATTGTGAGAAAAAACAACGCCAAAAAAAGAGTAAAGGCAGGGGTGGGATTGCAGACCAGCGTTTTGACTTAGTTGGCTCTGATGCGAACAAAATTGGAAGGTCGCATTTCCCTCCAGTTCGTAGAACTAAACATCATCAGAGTCCGTGGGGTATATCCAAGCCAAAACTCCAATTGCTTCAAAACATCATGTTTCCAAAATGCTACCAATCCAATCCATCATCCCCCTTCCGTTCCAGTAGTTCAACCACGGGCTCCAACACAGCCCTGGAGTGTCCCCAATTAGCAGCGTCCCTGGTCCGTGAGTAGAAGACAGGGCAATCCAAACTATCACAGCTAACCTCGTCACCGGGAGAAACACCCATACAAGAGCGACAGATAGCTTCCAAATCAACGACTCTCTTCTCCGCCCTCTGCAGCCGCGAAACAACATCAAGCAATGTAATATGTGGCTTCTGCAGACAATCCCCACACACAGGCACAGCAGCATCGGACAATTTCGCCCGACAAACAACACACGACGATGAGCGCATATACGACTCAAGAGTCTTCCTGGGAGCCACACCAGCACGAGAATTCGGCCTCGCAAGCGCTGACCCCTCAACCCGCCGAATCCGCTGCACCCTCGGCATCTCATCATACCACTGACGCACATTCGCACCAACAAGATTAAAAATCCTCTCCAGCGGTGGAATAATATTCTTTGTAATGTAATACTCCGCATCAATCTCAAGCTGCGCGTCATGCAGAAGCGTCTGCGGCGCAACGCACCGATCAATAAGTCTTGACCCAGGCGCGCCGGTGACAACAACGTACGGCACGCGCTCGCCGGTCTGCGGCTCCGAGCGCGGATCTTCCATCATGCGTTTGGTGCTTATCATGGCGCCGGCGGGTAGGCTGCGCTCGGAGTACGTACCCAGCCGGACTTCGCGAGCGAAGCAGAAATCTTGGATGGAGATGCGGCCTTGCATGATCTTTGCGCATTGGCGCTGGAAGTAGGATTTCACTTGGGACAGGTCTGCGGTGCGGAAGAGGATTTTGAGGGCTTTTTCTTCGATTTTTTGTTCGGCGGGTGTGCCGTCTCGACGGACGGTTTCGATGCCCTTTGCGTCGAACTCGGGCTCTTGTTGGTTACGGTGCTCGTATTTGAAGCCTACGTAGCGTTTCTTGGCGAGCAGGATGCAGGGGTGGTAGACTTTTTCGAATTTTAGTTTGATCGGTCGGGGGTTCAGGTCGGTTACTGCTTGGGCGATTTCTTCGCCGATGTCGAAGGCTTGGTCCCGAGTGCGGCCTTTTAGATGGACGAATAGACTGTCGGTGTCGCCGTAGACGACTTCGGCGCCCCAGCGTTCGATTGAGTGGATGAAGGCGATGGCCTTTTCGAGGGTTTCTCGTCCAGTCTGGACGATGCTGTCTGCGATCTCGGCACATGGCATTCGGCCCGAGAATGAGGCGGATGTGTAGCCGTATGTGACGTTTGCAATCAACTTAAGCGCTAGCTGTCTGTTGTTCAGAAGCCGTTGCAAGACCTTGTCGTCTTTGTCGGCTTTCATGCCGTTCTTGACCATCACGCGGGTTTCTAGTATCTCAGAAAGCATCTTGGCTAACAGCGACTGACGCGCTTCCTGCTTCGCGTACATCATACCATTTGGTGAGATGTTGATCTTGTCTTTTAGTAACTCGAGTAGCCTAGGCTGTCGCTTGTAATCCATGAACCCCATTTTATCTCGCCCACGCCAGTGCATTGCTCTACCCAGGAAGGTCGAGTAGCAGTAGTTGTAAGCGATCATGACACTTGGGTACAGTGACTGGAAATCGAGCACCAGAAGTGGGCTAGTGTAGAAGTCACTTTGCGGTTCCAGGACCAGGGGCAAGCATTCTAATGCGTTCTGCTGTCCGACCTGCTTTCTGCTTGGCGAGACGAGCAGGAAGTTCTCTGGCTTCGCAATTCGGAACATCAGAGACTCAACTTTGAACTGGGATCCCCGAGAGATCACGGAGGCGAAATCAATGCCCAGCAATCTGGCCTGCTCACTTGTCCTCGGTGTTAGTTCGCTGGCCTCGAGAATTTCCAGATTAAGCTGAACACGAGAAGTGAAATATTCCACAACTTTGAGGAGATTGCGTGGCTTGCCGCTTTGGTACCATTGTGTCAGATCTCTGGGGGAATAGTGAGGGATTCGGCGATGTAAGATATGAAAGACGACGTTCTCCATAGTGTACTGTAGCAGGTTCAGCTCGCCCTTCATAGCGCGCCAGATGTTGAACATGTGTCGCCCGGTGATACGAATGGACGATGAGTTATTGAACCCCCAAGAATCTGCCTCTTTCCCAAATCGTCCATTAGATTGGGATTTAGTCCTTGAGAGCTCCTCGCAGATGTCAAAGTCGTACTTCTTGCGCGCACGCTCAATCACATATCCCCAGGACGCGTTATGAACCTCGTAACCCGTGATGATGTCCGGATCGTAGTACCGGACAAGGTCTATGAGTCGGTTGATCAGGTCCAATTCCGTAGGCTCACATTCGACGTCAATTGTTAACGCCTTGGAAATTTTGGCTTCCGGCCTCTCGCCTTCGCCATGATAAACCATCCCAACATGGACTCCGGGAAGATGACTGTTGACCTCAACATCCTCATCTTCGGATTGAATGCACCAGAACAAGGAAGTGATCTCATCCTCTTCCGGGTTGGGTAGAAGAATTCCGCGCGTGTTCACATGCACTTCTAAACTCATTGTGCTCATGTGCTGAGCTTGGTGTTCAACGCTAGTGGACACTCCATGCTGTGAGTATTTGAAGCCATGTGCGTTCTTCTGTGTGGGGCCCTCGATCTGCGAGAGAAGATCGGATTTTTTTTTAGCGGGCATGATAGGGGCGGCTTTTTGGTCAGACACTTGCGAGGCTTCTAAGTCTTCAAACCACCGTATTACTTCCGACCGGCTTGGAGGAACAGGTGCAAACTCCCAGACCCTGGCAGTGCAGCCTTCCCGGAGTTTCTGATCAACAATTTCTTGCTGATCTCGGTCGTATGTTGTTGGTATCTGCTCACCAAGCATTGCAGATACCTCTGGGTTTGGGTCAAATTCGGGTAGATAGTGGATGGTGTTGCTCTCAAGCCGAAATTCTCTGCCGCCATATTCTCTTGGTCGCTCAGGCACATCCGTTTCATCACTGTAGAATGCTTTCTGGTATACAACGGAAGGACGACCATATTTGTTGATTGTCGAACTAACTTCGCTGGAGGTTGGGCTGGCAAATCTGAAGCAACGTAATGATGTGTTTGGTGTAAAATTGAATGACTGATGAATGTTTTTCATGGTCTCGGCGAGATATGAATCAAGAGAGGCTGGGCCCATTACTGTTGCAGATGACCGTAGCTCTGAGAAACTCTGGATTTCACTAGTTTTGCCTGGCAATTCCGTGGCACCTCCAGAAGAGAAGGAACTCAGAAAGGGCTGAGATGACTCGGAGTCCTTTCTTGAGGGGTTTGCCTCATCTTGGCTGTAGCGCAAAATGGTCAGAGGATCATTGGGGTCCTTGACTACCGGGAATTTCAAACCTCTGGTGTAACTATGCGCCTTTGGACGGACTGTCCTCTGTGAGGAAGATGATTTTGGCTCCGATGATGGGGTTTCTGCGTGCGCATCCAATTTGCTGTCAAAAGAGACACTTTTTTGTTTGTCATTTTGCTGATACTTCAGTGAGTTAGGTGATTCCAATTGTCCGTCAGACAAGCCATGTTTGGCCATTTGTCTAGGTCTTTTAGTAGGCGAATACTGGGAATCGAGAGTTTCGAAGTGTTGTCTTTTAGAGGCTACAGTTTTGCCCTGACTCTGGTCTCCGGGCCTTGTTTCTAGGCCTGCAGAATGTCGTTCATTGCAGACACCATGCGTAGTGGATGTAGGGTTATTGGTTTCCGCAGGCTCCATAAGTGCAGCCACATCTGGAAAGGGCATTTCGTCAAAGACCTCATCATAAAAGCTGTCCCCCAGCGAGTTTTGTTTTGATTCAGGCTCTTGTTCGGTTCCCCCTCCCGATGAGTCCCCTGCTTGATCAGAGTCCGAGTAATACTGTCCAGCTTGAGATGACAAAGCGAGACCCTCATCAACCGAGATTTCCGGTAATTGATTCTGGGCTGATTCCTGGGAACGGCTGCTATCAAAAGTCAAAGTATTGATTTTGTCAGGAAAGAAGTCCTCGACACTATCCAACGCAGTCTTGACGATTTTGGCATGATCATCGTGATCCAAGAATGTCCCAAATGTTGTTTCTTTGTTATGATCTTCGTGCTTCTCATTAGCGGCAAGCTGAGATGCCATCTCTCTAAATTCTTCCTCGTGTACCCAACCACCCCTCGACTGATTTCTTGGATCCGCAGACATTGAAACCAATTCCTCGGGTCCATAAGGAGTGCTTCCAAAATCAGTGATGCCCATCTTCTTCTTGCGTCTGCGAGTTTCATCCTGCCACAGTCCAGCCATGCTAGGGACGAGCCGCTCGTTAACCGCAACAGGTTTCAAAAGCTCGGTGAAATCCTGGTGTAAAGGTCGTTCCTTTACATCAAGACGGTTGAGGATATCTTGAACACAGACATCAACCTCCAGCGCGCAATTGCTCTGTTTCTGTAATGCAGGGTGATCAAGTATGCTCTCCGGTAGGATTGAGCGATCGTGCCAGCGGTGGGCTAGATTGCTTAGCTCGAGATACTCAGGTACTGGTGCTCTGAACTTGACTTGACTGCAGCTCATGGTTGCACATCCGTACAAATTGTAGTCATACATCCATTGCGGGATGTATTGCACATGTGCCTCGTAAGGTTGAAGCGGACGTTTCATTACAGCTCCCTGGTGCAGAAGATCGACCAGGCGAGTTATGTGGAAGGGGCTCAAAAGGTAAATCTTGAAAAAGAACCGCCATCCCACGTGGTATCCGTAGAACGGAACTCCTTTCACCAAGGTAATGTGCGCCACAAACGCTGTCCTTCGATCATATGCATTTCGGCGAAAGCTGACCGCAAGAGCGTGATCAATTGATAGATGAAGAGTTCGGATTGCAGAGTTTACTACAGTTTTGGTAAGTCGCCCAATCAGTTCATCAATGACTATCACTAACCATCTTCTGGAGCCAAGGACCCATTATATTCGATGTAGAGGTATGGAAATGCGCCGTGAACATGTACGCAAACTCTCTGGCCTGTCTCGGTGGCTCCAAATATTCGAATTACAGGCACCTTGGGCCTGAAATGTTTTTCCGAGACCTCATAACGAAAAGGTAGTGGAGGATCCAACTCCGACGCGGTTGCCTGGTAGTGATCGATATAGTTGAGACGCACACGGAATGGTTCCATCGCTTTGGTTTGTGGTGACCAGAAGCCACAGCAACATTTCGAATGGTGAATGGTTCACGCCGCCTGTCGCAAGTCTGTCCTTTTTGGTATTACACTAGGGATGGTTGAGAGAACTCGACCGAGGTATGTCCATGAAAACGCGAGATAACGCCTGGTCACGTGTTTTGTGCCTCTCCACCCGCGAAGCACAGGCCTGGCGCAACTTGATCATCTTTCATCCTAAAACAGGAGAGAGCTACAGCTGGCTTGATCTACTTCCTCACTTGTTCTCCTTTCTTTCCTACTCAAACCCCTCCCCTTCTCCATTAAATCAACCAGTCATGTCACGAAAACCCGCGGATGTGGCGTCTAAAACGCCCAACGAGTACATTCCATCCTTCATTTCGAAAAAGCCATTCTACGTGGATGATGAGACAAATAATGATTACCTGGAGCATCAACGCCTTCAGAAGGCCATTCCTGATCAGTCAAAATGGTATGATCGAGGAAAGCGTGCGGGTCCAGCGGCCACCAAATACCGCAAAGGCGCATGTGAAAATTGCGGCGCAATGACACACAAAACCAAAGAGTGTTTGAGTCGACCCCGAAAGCACGGTGCCAAATGGACTGGAAAGGATATTCAAGCAGACGAACTTCTCCAGAAGGTCGATATGGGGTGGGACGCCAAAAGAGACAGGTGGAACGGCTATGATGCCACCGAATATCGCCAGGTCGTCGAGGAATATGAAGAGATGGAGGCCCTTAAGCGAATGGCGAAGGATGATTCTAATCTCAAGAAACTACAAGCCGGTGAAGATGGCGATGAAGCCCCTGATTCGGATATCCGTTACGCCGAAGAATCCGACATGGGACGACAACAGAGTACCGCGACCCGCAACCTACGTATTCGAGAAGATACCGCCAAATACTTGCTCAACTTGGACCTTGATTCCGCCAAATACGACCCGAAGACTCGCCGAATGGTGGACATGGGCGCACAAGATGATCAGGCCGCTGCACTTGTCGCAGAGGAGAATTTCGTCCGTGCTTCAGGCGATGCTGCGGAGTTCGAGAAAGCACAAAAATATGCGTGGGAGTCACAAGAGAAGGGTCTCACTCAACTACATATTCAGGCCAATCCGACATCTGGAGAAGTTCTCCGAAGGAAAGAGATGGTTGATAGTGAAGCTAAGCGTGAAGCGCATCGCAAAGCTCTCCTAGACAAATACGGTGGTGGAGAGTACTCAAAACCAAGTGCCCTGCGAGAGACGATGGTCGTTGAAAATGAGCGATTCATTGAATATGACGAAAGCGGTGCCATCAAGGGCGCGCCCAAGAACGCAACCAAATCCAAGTACCCGGAAGACGTGATGATCAACAATCACACTTCGGTCTTCGGTAGCTGGTGGTATCAATTCAAATGGGGATATGCGTGCTGCTATTCCACTGTGAAGAACAGCTACTGTACAGGGGAAGATGGAAAGAAGGCCTTTGAGGAAGAAGGCAACATGCTGCTGATGACTGGGGCAGTTGACGATAATGACAAAAATATGGATCTCTCTCACGAGTCTAAACAAGCCGATGGCAAGGAGCAAGAGCAGGATTCCAGTGCCAATGGGAAAAAGCGGACGCTGGAAGAATTGAAGTCAGGCGTTACAGAGGAGGAATTTGAATCATACAAGCGGAGCCGTTTGGCTGCCGATGATCCTATGGCGAACTTCATAGGGAAATATTGATTCTGATGATTTTCTCCTTATACTACTTGCATGGGCGTTCGGACGTACTAAAATACCCTCTTGATGTGCTATTTTAAAAGTGAACTAATGCACATTCCAACATTTCGTTTTTACCTCTCTTGCTGTGGTTTAAAGTGCCCATCTTAAGCAATACGCATCAATTAATTTGAATCAATATGAATCAATGTTGTCCACGACTCTACAATTGCCCGGATTTTTAAGACAGTAATTCGTCACGTGATTTGATATCAGCACGGACCATTCAATTCCAATGAGGGCTAGTCAATCACGGGATCTGGACAAGCCCTGACGGGTCCACGTGACTGACTAACGCACTCGCTTAGAGCACAATCGCCAGATCTTGGGCAAGTTTCGAGACGCTTAGCGACGACGACCCGACAACCAGCCCCTTCAACGGAATTGCCAGGTACGTCCGCATGCCGGTCCTTTCACCACTGCTCACTTCGTTCCCGTCAATTTACTAACATATATCCTCCTCTATAGTTCCATAATTCAAGATGAGTACGTCTGATGTCGAAACATCGCACCGCGATCCTCCGCAGTGTCGAATAACTTCAAACTAACAACCGCCACAGCTAAGGGTACCTCGAGCTTCGGAAAGCGCCACAACAAGACGCACACTCTGTGCCGTCGTTGTGGTATGTATTACACCTATTTTTCACGATCCTATCCATCCGACCCGCAGTCGCAAATTTCTACATCAAAAGACGGAATTAGCGATTACGGCGAAGACAACCACACAACCTAGCAAGAACAAGGGCTAACTGGTGATATCTACGACTCAACAGGCAAGCGGTCTTTCCACATCCAGAAGTCGACTTGTGCCAACTGCGGCTACCCTGCTGCCAAGACCCGCAAGTGTACGCAAATACCCCTCCCGAGAAAGTTGGTGATGTGAACGGTGGCCATTATTTGGAATTTGGACACCAAGTCGAGAACTCTGGCTTACATGGATTTTTCTTTCGAACAGTCAACTGGGGTGAGAAGGCTAAGCGCCGCAAGACCACCGGCACCGGCCGCATGCGCTCCCTGCGCGATGTCCACCGCCGCTTCCAGAACGGCTTCCAGACCGGTGCCCCCAAGGGTGCCCGTGGCCCCGTCACCAACTAGATTCCCTTTTTCGTCCGCTCGGCGTCGCGTTTTCGTTATCGGAGAGGCTGGAATAGGAATGAGGGGAGGGATCCTGGCATGACATGAATTAGCATTACGGGATAGCATTACTCGAAATGCAATGGCAGTTCCGGACTCTTATCGCTTTCCCATGGAGTTGGTGTGTGTGCAACTGTCGATCACGTTGGTTCTCTTTGCCACGCCAAGGATGACAAAGTAGAACTTGTGAGGCGATGGGAAAAGTTTCGTTGAGGGGTTCCTTTCTACGGGAAGGAGCTGGATATAAAACCCTGGGAAAGCGTGAATGAATTTCCTTTTTTTCGTTTATGGCTGGCGAATATCCCATGTCATGACAGATACAATGTGAAGACTCTTCCTACCATTTCATGGTCTGCTTTACTTTGCACGAGGCTATTCGGTTGAAAAGACACAGACTTGAATTGGACCTGATTCAATGACTGTACTTGATTAGCTCGTGGCTCCCGTGAACATCCAACCCATAGTCTACAGCCTAGGATCATGATTCTCCACGACCAAACACCTTGACACCGCCATCCCGTTGAATGAAGTACAACGCCTCTCGCTCCTCCAGGGTCTCTTCTTCACTCATGTTCAGACCACCGCCTCGGCTGATCCTCAGTACCCCGCTCACGTCTTTTGCGGCTCCAGTATCCAAAGTGCGGAGCTGCATGACCGACCGAGCCCGGTGCGCCAGCCCAATAATAAGTGCCGCATGTTCGGTCTCTATGGGCGTAGCTAACTGCCCTCCCGATGGAGATGCATTGTGTATTAATGGGGCATCCATAGCTAACGTCAAAACCGTAGCATGTGCATTCTGTCAAACATTAGTCAGCCCCGTCGTAAACATAAATCTTGATTTAGCCTATCGGGGAGTGATAAGGCCTTACCTGCTGCAGCGCTGTGATCCACTCCGACATCTCTGTAGCTCCAATTCCCATACTTGGACCGGTCGCAGCAAGGAGCAGGTCAGGCTGATCTATTATGAGGAGAAGCTCATCGCCATCCTCCATTGAGCTCTTCTGAAGTTCAATCACTGTTAAAATGTCATTCTCCAGTGCGTCGAGAGAGGCGAGACCACGGCCAGAGAAATGGATCTTCTTTGCAATCCCAGGTTCAGCTTGCCTCGGCGTCACATTTCCCCTCACTCCCGTGGCTGTTACCACCGCCGCCGGTGATGATCTGCCAGGTACAGCACCTGGTGGAGACCTCATTGGGAGCGTTTTGCGTGGACTGCTTCCCAAACCAGCCGGTGAGATACTGGAAGGAGTGGCTGTGGCTTGTGGTGCGTAGAACAGCTCTGACAGGCCATCTATGAATGCAAATTGCTGCTTATCTGCCAGACGCGCAAGGTCAAGGCCCTATAAATTTGGTTAGTGATGTCGATCAAAAGTATGTATCAATACGTGAATATAATGAGAAATTGAACACCAACGCATGTTCCAAATTCAAACATTAGTCACTCTGTTGGCTACACTTACCAAGCGCTTCGCCTCAGTCCTCCAGAACTCATAACTCCGCATGAAGCTCACCAGCACCACTTTCTTCCTGATGCCATTGTGCAGCACATCTGAGCCAAATGCCGCGTTGGGGCTTGGTACGCTCAGCGCAGCATAAAGAAATCTCAGGACCAGCCAGTTTGAAGTTGCACCGAGGGTAGAGGAGACTAGTGTCAAAGATGAATCGGGCAGATTTGATACATATGAAGCGAGGAGGGGCGGTAGTGGGGGTTGAGAGGGCATGATTGCGCCTCGATTCAGAGATCGATGCTGTACTTTGTTCCAAGCAAATTGAAGATTTGCTAGGTTGAACTCGGTTCTTTTCCTTTCCAGTTATTAAGAATTTGTTTGGAAGTGTTGCTGCTGATCGAGTCGTGGTGATGAGGTCGAGAAAAAATGTCTCCAGCTTGTGATTGGCCCCTCCGGTATCCAGCTTTGCCAAGACATAGGACATCAGGATGATATTGCATAGGATGGAATTTTCCTGCTGTTCCTCGATTTATTTCTCTGGAGAATAAATTTAAAACAATGTGCTATTTACTTTTGATTCTCTTCGGCTATGTTTAAGTGAAATCTTTCAAAGAAAAAAAGGTTCTCCGAAAGATGCTTGTATGCCAAATGCCATATATAGTTCCTGTTGCATTCGACCCTCTTAGCATTCGCACCTTGTGTTTTAAATATTGGTTGATGCAGTTAGTACGAGTCAATCTGCACGTTACACTACATTGGACTTTTGAAATCACATACAAAGCTGTCAACATGGGCTGCGATCAAAATCCCAAATAGCATGTGTGCCTAAGGCATCAATGTGAGTTTTCTGCACGCATCACCTGACTGTTTTCCCCACCATCGAGAGGAGCGATGGATACATCTTGTCCATCGCATTGCAAGAGGCTGTGCTTTAGCGCCGATCGTGAGTACATTTTCCATTCTAGAGATCACTTTCACACCGCCATGTGTATACGCATCCCAGCCATACCATGCGTATGTGCTATATATGATACCCGATGTGGGGATCTGGCTGTGAAGCATTTTCTGACCGATACATCAAATACATTGGCTAACTGTTTATACAGATGACTGCCGTTTTATGGTTTGATCTCAGCGCATTGGATAAAAGATACGAGACATCCAACTTATCTCGATAAAGATGACTAGCACTCGTGATTCCCATTCATTTGCTGTATGTATTGATCTGTCTGCATGTAGCTGAGGTATAAAATGCCAGAGCTGAAGTCTAACTGTTTAAACAGTGCGACGAATGCCGCTTGCGCAAGTCAAGAGTAAGTGCCTTCTTGTATTAAATATCTGCAGGCCTTGGCCCATTTAACCCGGATATCATAGTGCTCAAAAGAGCGACCAGTTTGTCTGCAATGTCGACAGCTGAATAAAGAATGTGTATACAGCCCCAAAGTCAGCAGAAGTCCTCTGACTCGGCAGTAAGTGACCGGAACTGAAAAGAGTCATTTTTGCATTGGAAGATAAGACTGAATTAACCACTTCAGACACTTGACCCATGTTGAAGATCGCCTACACTCATTTGAAACTGCCTTGGGAAGGCTTTTCCCAGGTGGTGATCTGGATGCCACACTCCGTTCTCTTTTGCAAAACCCCGAGGTTCCAAGGGCCCCCTCATCTAAGTCCTCTTCAAGGCATTCAACCCCCAAGCATGAGCCAGAACGGGCCGAGCCAGCACCAGAGGCTCTCCCACAGCAAGCCGATGGCTTTGACTGGGCTGAAAAAGAAATTACGCTAGGCGATTTGACGGACGGAATGGCTGCGCTGTCTATCAAGCCCGAAGGAGCTGGCTACTTTGGTTAGTCCTGTTCAATGTCCATTATGAATTTTGCTTCCCCCCCAAACTGACACATAGATCACAGGAGCGTCTTCAAGTGTCGTACCACTGCGAGCACTTTTTGATCATGGATTTGACCTGAATATTCCTGTTCGCTCGGCAAGGTCAGGAGGCGTGCCTCTCAAAGCACAGCTTCTGGAAAGTGCCCCATCTGGGCTGATTGAACAAGCGTTTATCGACGCTTTCTTCCTCAACTATCACACGAGCTATCCATTTATCCACGAGCCTACCTTCCGGATGCAGTTTAATGACCCATCTCTACGCCCGCACGGTAACGCCTGGCACATCCTCTTAAACACGATACTAGCTCTTGGAGCCTGGTGCATCGGCGATGACAGCTCAGACCTAGATATCACATTCTACCAAGAAGCCAGAGGATACTTGCAGCAGGCATCTGTGTTTGAGACTGGCAATTTGACATTGGTGCAAGGGTTATTGTTACTGAGCAATTATGCACAGAAACGGAACAAGCCCAACACTGGATGGAACTACCTTGGTCTAGCAGTTCGAATGGCCATGAGCTTAGGTCTTCACAAGGAGTTCCCTGGGTGGAAGATCAGTCTCCTCCAAAGAGAAATTCGCAGAAGATTATGGTGGGGAGTTTTCATCTTCGACAGCGGCGCAGCTAAAACATTCGGAAGACCGATCCTACTCCCAGAGGATAGTGTCATGGATGCGAAGCAGGTTCGAAATATCCACGAAGAGGTATTTGCAACCAACACGCAACAAAATGAAACTGCTTTAACTGACACATCAAAGGACTTGACTCCCACAACAACAACCCTACCGGCCGAATCGCCCGGCCCAACCATTTACTCTGGCTTAATTGCCCAGGCCAGCTTCCACCTTCTTACCAACAACGTCTACCAACGCCTCATCTCAAGCCCCAGCCTTACCCCAGAAGACACTTTGAACCTGCAAAAACCCATCGAAGAATGGTACAACAGTCTTCCATCCTACCTTCAACACCCGCAGTTGCCTCTCCCCATGCAGCCAACCAATCCAGACCCGGACTCTCTTGCACTCGTGCGCAATCGCCTGCTATGGCGAAACTGGAACCTCACCATTCTGATCTACAGACCAATCCTACTCCGCTGGGCCGCTAGACGCTGGGCCCCACTTAGCGGCAGCGGTCCAGGCACCCCGGATTCAGGATCCGAAGATCCCTTCGAGACGGAGTGCCGATTTCGCTGTCTTCAGAACGCGCGTTTGACCATCTCCTCCATCTCAGAGTACATGGCGAACCATATGTGCACAAGACTTGGGGCATGGTATATGCTGTGTGTATCCCTCCATTCCTAACACTTCACTAGAATGACATCTAACACTAGAAAAATAGCTACTTCCTCTTCCAAGCAGGCTTGATCCCCATAGTCTTCCTAATGACCGACCCCTCAAACCCAGAAGCCGCCTCCTGGCTCCAGGACATCGAAACCACAAAATCCCTCTTAACCAACCCCTCCCTTGGCACAAACCGCTTTGCGACCCGCTGCTTCGAAGTCATTAACCGACTCCTCGGCCCCCCCACGCCCTCTGTGCCACAAGGACTCCTAACGGACGGAGACCAGCTCGATCCCCAGCAACACCAGCACCAGCACATTGCTCCGCAACCGCTGCCTAACATGATGCCGTTTTCCGAGCAGCTCTTCAGTGACCCCGAATTTGGGGGAAGCCTGTTCCCAGTCGAGCAGCACTTGCAAATGAATACGGGGAGCATGGACTTTTCCGAATGGGTGAATTTCCCCGCGGCGGAATGAATTATGTAGTTTTGGTATTGGGGGTTCTTCTATTGTTTCTGTATGTATCTTGCATTGTGGGATGGGTATCATGGGAAGGAAAATTAGGAATCTCTTTTGGAAAAAGTCACATAGGTTTGGATATTAGCAAATACGTCAATAGTATGATTTTGACAGTCAGATTTGATATGCAGTGCGAGACTTCCTATTTCAAGAACAAGTTGTTGTGTGCGCGCAAGGTTCTCATTGCGCCGTAAATTCATTGCATTGCACGTTGGCGTTCATGCATGTTCTGCTTGGGAGTTCACCGGCTTGATATGATCACCGATCATCTTCTTCAATCAGGGCTCCGCGCGACTCGGCTTCAATGTGCTTGATGTGCTTTTTTTCTTCATGATTGGCTGTATCGCTGAAATTGAGACCCATATATCCTCGAGCGTATGTTGAGAAATGGTCGGCATGTTTACTCTCTGGATCTTGTGGTCCACGCAGGAACAGAGGGTTATGGAACGTACCTTTTCATGGGTGTTGGGGATACCAAAGAAAGGGAAATCGAAGGAAGCAGACAGAAGGCAGATAAGAAGATGTGTGTGTCCCGGGTGCTGGACTCGAGCATATCAGGTGTGACAAGGCCAATGATGCTGCAAGGATTGTTAGATCCGAATCGAATAACCTAACTAGGAACCGTCCCTTACAAAATGCGCACGTCCATTTTGCAGAGGTTGTGATCGAGATGGCCTTGGATCTGATCGAGAGGTTGGAAATTTCCAATAGCAGAACCCAACCAAGGGGAGCGGACAACGAGATATCAGAGAAATTATCCTCGTAAAGGGACTTTCTCACATTATTGAGACGTTGATTTAAAAGTTGCTCGTTCAGGAGAACGGGACCATCGCGATCCTGGCGGCGCAATCTTGAGAGCGCATGCAGCGGATCATCATCACGCTCCTTCATCAACAATCAACGGAGCGCTATCCACAGTAGTAGCCATGAGATGCCAGTATTTTTCCGAGCCGATGAGAAGGGATAAATAGCTCCTGTTTGCTAGGCTTCATGTATAGGTGCTTTCCAGCCCAAATCGAAGACCTACCCTAAACTGTTCAGGAAATTTGTGCTCCGTCTGATGAAGCAGGGTCACACTACTCCGAAGGTTCAGAGCAAGGAACAAGAGATATGGTATGATAGACTGAAAACCAGCAGAGTACCCTACTTCTCTCGAACCAAAAAGGAAAAATGGGGGAAAGGGGGGGGGAAGGGGGGGAAGGGGGGGGGCCGAAACTGGGGCATAGGCTTTCCCCTAGTTTAGTGGGCCTCTCCCGAGGTTGCGGGAGAGTTTGATATTGCGGGGAACGGCGAATTCTTGTCCTTTCGGGTGGCTTATTCTTGTTTTCAGTCTCAATATCATTGGATTGTTGCCATACTGGATAATCTGATGGAACTGTTTTGTTTAAACAACTGCAATGGACCACAAGATGATTCATCATGAGGGAAACCTTGAATTGGGGACCATTGCAACGGTGATTTTCAACTTTGTGCTGCCCATGTGAAACCCATCTTCACTGCCGATGAACGCGTAACTTGCGCGATTATGCGCAGGTTTGCCAGTGGATTGCTAAGACCCGTGCTATTTTATCGTGCCCAGTGCCAAAGAGCAGCAGTTGCGCCCAAAGAGTGCATGTCATCTGCTGGATTGTGGTTTCTCAAGAGACATCAGGTGCAGTAAATTGGCCTCTGACCTTCTCGCCACAAAGTGATAAAATTCTCGCTCTGCTGGCATCAAGCTTCCCGATCTCAAAGTTCGACATCTCAACCTGACGTTGCCTCCCACGACCATGCCCTCGCCCCTCCGCATCGGCGTCCTCCTCGTGGGAACCGTCCAACTCCTCGACCTGTCAGCCGTCGACCTCCTCTACATGACAACCCCGGAATACCTACAAGAATGCTCACTCCCGCAGCCCCTGGTGAATCTGGGTCGGGCCTGCGAGATCCACTACATCGCACACAACGGACCAAACACAACTGTCAACACGACCTCACAGATGTCCATACAACTGACAGATTCGCTCATAGACTCTTCCGTTTCTCCAGGAAAGCTAGATCTCGTGCTAATCCCCGGTCCACCGCCCAAAGCAATGCCGCCAGCCGAAGAGTACCTCGACTTCGTGCGCGCGCATTTCGCAGTCGGCACGCCGATCTTGAGTATCTGCACGGGGGCTTTTGTAATCGGGTACTCCGGGATTGTAAGTGGTCGAAAAGTAACCGCACCGCGGTTGTTGATTCCTGAGATGAGGCGGAAGTTTCCTGAGGCAAAGCTGTGGGATGATTCGGTCAGGGTTGCTAGGGATGGGAATTTATGGACTAGTGGTAAGCTCTTTTAATTTCCTCTTCTTTTGGGGTTGCGTTTGATCCAAACTGGATGCAGCCATGCTGAGACTCGCTCATAGGTGGAATTACAAACGGATACGATCTGGTCGCTGGATATCTGCGTGAACATTACCCTGCTGCTTTGGTGAATACGATCCTTGTCGCTGCAGACATCCCTTCCCGTCCGGCAGCGTATGCTAGTTCCGCGACGGGTGATACGTTCTATGTGCTGTGGCAGGTTCTTCGGGCGTTTCCGGATGCAGTGGCTCGGTTGTTTAGGGGGAAGTGATGGCAGCACTGGCTTCTAGTGCACAAAGTTCAACCGACGTCATCCCGAGAAATCTCCATGCGTTTAAATCGACGATCAAATGCTTAATTTTTTTTTTTGGAAACAGTGATGAATAATTTAGTATTTAGTACTTGGCCATTTGAAAAATCTGTCTACTAAAAGAGGCCTTAACAAAAGGCTGAGTGCAAGATTCCAGATGGAACCTATCAAGCTTTTCCTCCGAATTGGAGTGAGAACAATGACAAAACACCAAGATTCTCCAGCATGTCCAAGGCTTCGAAATATCGAAAAATTAAGAAATCGACAACGTCGATAGAACGATTTCCATGTACCTGCGTTGCCATGGTCACTTTCACCAGAATGTTGAGCCGGGATGCGCCACTGTCAGTGTACCGGTGCCGAAAAAAGGCGGCGAGGTCCGAAGAGCAGGAGACAGGGATGAAAATCCTCTTGACAGCAAGTCTCTACAACAATGCTGAGAGCTGTCAAGGACTCTCCACTTGGTAGATAATAAAGTCGACCCCCCGATTCCGAGGTTTTAAAAACGGCCACCTTTGCCTGAATGCCGGACATTAATGCCCGACGGGTGGGCTTGAACTGGTGCTGCAGCTAGTCGGTTAATTCCCACAATTCCTGTACTTGTCAAAAACCTCTCATTTATTCTTCAGAAATACCCATTAGTCCATCTGAATAAAAAGGCGTACTTTTTCCCTCGGAGCTGGCATATTGTTTCCGATCAAAAGCCCCCTAAGATGGTCGATCATCACTTTTGTACAACATACGTCTTTGCGCATGTCAAATATCTCATATGCCACTATAACATTCACGGTCCAAGGCCGGTCTTTTGAGAAATAAAAAAAGCGGAGTTTCGTCCTCCCAACCATAATCGTATCTCGGAGAAACTTCACACTTCATTAACCGGTGCTCGGAGACACTCCCTGCCACAAATTACGAAGATTGGCAGCCTCGATGCATGGAAGCAAGCCAATTGCCTCCTCAAAGAGCTTTCCGAAGCTGGGGCTAATCATGCCACTGGCGGAGGCCGTACCGGCTGTACTGGGATCGCTAGCGGAAGGCCATGGAAGAAAAGGATTCATACCGTCGAGTGTACGGATACTGGGACCGTGTGCCGGGGGCATGTAGAGCCCGGGAATTCCCATTCACCCGCATGCGTTACACAAATCATGTTCTCAAGAACGACATTCGCCTTTTCGGAAAGGCCGTACTTCTGATCGGAATCATGGCCGGAACCCGAGAATTTCAACACTGTGCCAACCTATTAACGTTGGTGTCAGATGACAGCCATTCCTTTAAGGTGAGGGACATGTGAGGAACAGTGATAGCGAAAATTTTGCCGATAGGAAAATGTCTACGGAGTATGCAGGTCAGCCAATCCAAAATGCATATTATACTAGAGAGACCTAGACGACCCACCGGCGAGATGAACTTGACCTTCATATATGCTGTGGGCGGGGGGGTGGGCACGGTGAGATAGAATGCGCCAATAAATTGTCCTTTGGCGCTCATTTCCCCAAGACTTAGTGCAAGTCAGAGCCGCAGATCGCAGCCTCCAGTTTCTATCGGCTCCGACTTTTCGTAGTGGAATCCATTGATCGCTCACCGTTGTGAAATTACACGATGATATCGTCTGGATGCTCCAATTTTGGCCTTTGAGCCTTCCCCACTCAGACCTGGTATGGTCCGATATTGTCCAGTGCCCTTGTACGGAGTAGTAGTAGTTGTTGCCATTGTAAGTCTCTGAGATGGACCAGTAGGTACAACATAAGTGTGCGTGGTACGGACAGCGAAGGCCAGCGTGGCATTGGAGTGCGTTGGTCATAGGATTCCCGAAGGCCTCTATCACCACTCTTTTGTACAACCTAAAGCCAATCTCAACCGCTACCATGACTAATAAGTGGCTCGGTGAATGAGCTGGCAACCAACAGTTGATAGTGTGCGAGACAAGTTGTCCTTTCTGTACATCCAGAAGTGGGGTGCATTGGTTATTGAAACTACTCTACGGAGTACTCCGCACAACATATGTGTCTTTCGTGTCAACATGAGATGGGGTTAAATACCGCACTCTCACTACATCGCTTTCCCGCAATATTGACCCCCACCGGGCTGAGCAAAGACCCCCCATCTACGGGCAAGGATACCATACGGAAGACCGTATTTCAGAAGGTGAAGTCCGAGCCAATGATTCCCACTTGGACACCTCTAGTTCTCTCCGGATTGTACTCCGTACAGTACAACATAGAAGCAGGAAAGCTCTAGGACCTTCTTTGCGAATTCAAAGCTAGAAATTCAACAGTGGATTCACCCACCTCATTGATCCGCCATGCACGCGAAAGGCTAACAAAACCCTCAGTGTTAGTGTTATCACCTGAAATCAAAACCATCCTCCCAGTCCTTCACGCCTATGGGGCCACTCTAAAAAGCCCGGAATGTGGGGGAGGTACTGGCACTTGACACCACAGTTGGTGTCGTTCTGCCGCCGCACTTGAGTGGGCACTAAAATGATGCTTGCTCTGAACGAGTTGGAGCCACCCGCGAACCAGGAATGATTGATCCTGAAGAAAGAGAAGGTAACATGGCAAATTGCTATATAGGGCCCTTCTCAACCATGAAACCGCTGGTTCAGAACGTGACCCAGAGCTGAGATATTTTCTTCGACAAGAAATTTGGTGCATTACCGATGGAAGTTGACTTTCTTACCTGCGAGTTCTTTCAAGTAAAAGAACGCATTGGATTAAAGGTACGAAGCACAGATAGGGGAAGCTTTAGGATGAAAAGAGTGGTTGGATCAGAGCTTTTGGCGGGGCTCGGACGAAATACTGCTGAACGATTCCACAAGCTTACAACAGACTCGCGAGTGCTAGAAACCGAAGGAAAAAATCTAGGAGCGGTAGGAGCTATAAGACACAGTGAAAGTCCTCTAAACTAACCAGGTTAAAACTGAGATCTTTCTCAATTGCTTAGATAGCTTAGGAACGAGATGAGGTGATTACTTTCTGTGACCTTGCGATTCGTAAGAGAAGGGTCGAAAAAGAAGAAGACACAAGTACGGTTCAATAGTTGTGCATTTCTTGCAGTTCAAGAGCCTAAAAAAATATAGTGTAGAAGAGAATATATCAGAGAAGAATAAAGACCCCGAGGATTGAAAACGATGGAAAAGAAACAATCTGGGCGAGAACGCTCGTACCATGCAACGCGCTGCACCACGCTAAAGAGGACAATCATCGAGAAGAGAAGAAGAGGAAGAGAAACCAACCAAGAGAGAGAGAGAGAGAGAGAGAGAGAGAGAGAGAGAGAGAGAGAGTAAGT